TACATGTTAGAAGTGAATACTGCACTGGTTAACATTCTTACAATAAAGATTATTTTCTGTTCGTTTTAGGCAATACACAATTTACTATATTTTCTTGGTGAAATTTTATTGTTTGTGGAAATGATATCCAGTCACATCATTGCTCATGATGATGTGATTCTTATTATATAGGGATGTCGACCGTAAAATATTTTGTATGATAGCAAACATAAAGACTTAAGTATTAAGTTTCGTAAAAAATGACGTAACCATTTGCCATAATTTTAGTTAACTATTCTTTTTTTCTGGTATTTGCTGAGACGTAACTGAAACACAACCAACGTTCGTGGTAAAGTTCTACTGCTGGTGGAATTGATATCTGACAATAATAATACATATTGTTGCTAAATTTGAGATTCATGTACAGTATTTCTAGTGTCGCAACCATACTTTGTTCTCAGCAAGGCATCCCCATCACCTGCAGGTGTTATATACGGCATTTTTATAATTCGTGCTAATTGGAGATAGTAATATAACGCTGATTTTTACCTTTGCCATTTTTAGTACCGCATTTATTTCTTAAAACCGGCGTCCTGTTGGTCGTACAAAAGTACTTTTTTGCTTTGTTTGAAGAACTATTATATGAGAGGGCGGGAGAAAGATTTTATTACATTTGTCAAACCAAGAAAACACATATATGAATACATAAATAAATAATAAGGAAACGGTATATGACTGGGCGTTTTGGTATATTATCCAACACGATTACATACGTCATCAGAGTCAGTTGCCGCCCAGCACAATTTCGTATGTAATAAAATAATTGTACTGGTTCGGTGTTAATTTCATGAAAACCACTCAAGTTTATTAACTATATACAATATGTACAAGTCTCTCCTGGTGTTTCTTCTTCATTCTGGATCTATTGAGCCGATGCACAATTTACTAAATATCGTCGCTAAATTTTACTTCTGGTGAAAATGTGATTTTTCAAAATTATTGTTCATGACAATATCTTTAAATAGATTTGAAGAGTTCTTGTTACCTTTTTTTTTGGGCGATTGACTTGGAAACTAGTGGTTATGACTTATGAATATTGAAGTTACAAAATTTGATATATAAAAGACAAGCTACCATTTATGTACATGGATAAAGCATGATTGATACAGTGCAAACTGTTTATTTTTCAATCTCTATATTCAGCCCACGTCTAAAGTTTCTATAAACAAATATACACCGCCGCAGAGCCATGTTCATTTTGACAAGCACTTCGCCAATCGTGATCGGACGATGATTTCCGTGTAAAGGGAGATCTGAAGAAATACCAATATATATATTATCGCATCTAATATGAGTCAACACTTTATTTACCTGGACATTGGTTGTTACTTATGTATTCTACATGGGTCAAATTTTACAATCATGAAAGTACTTCAAAGTACGCTGTTTTTTTCGTACCAGTCTGTTTTTTTTTTAATTAAAACTGAACTAACAAATATATCGGTAACTGTAGATGAAGAGAATGCATTAGGTAATTAATGCTTCTAAACTTCTAACCGAGACTCAAGTTCAAAATAGTTTCGAATAAATTGTGTTAGTAGACCTGCTTACATATTTATTTCTGCGGAATGTTTGACTTTACCATACGTTATTTCAGAATTCAAAATTGTATATCGAGAGCAAAGCTATACAGGCATTTCAAATTTCTAGTAAGTATCAAGTTGCCTATGGAATAATAAAAAGATATCTGCCAATACAATATAAACCGTAAACAGTTTCATAATGATGCGTTGTTTATTAGTTTCATTTTATCTTAATTAACAAATATATACAGCATACAATTAAAATTGTCATCAATGAATTCAATACTGGTAAAACGAAAAATATTTTTTTCTTAATATTATGGCTAATAATATCAGACAATTTGTTTATACTTGGATTCAGAAACCAACGTTGATCACCAGACCGAGCAAACCTTACGAATTTGTTACATTGCAACAACTCCGAATCTATTTCGAAATGTATAATTTTGTTACTAATTAAATCTCTGTTCGAAAAAAAAAATCCTAAGTAAATTACCCAGCAAGTGAAAACAAGTGTGAACGTGTTTATAAAGAACGGGCAATTGCACTCTACTATTCACAGCTGAGAAAAAAAGGTGTTACTGTAGCTTGAGATCTAACGCCATATGTCGACTACGCAGGTGCAGTCTGAGGTTAAGAAAAGTGCAGTTTACCCTTAAATTAAATCTATAAATAAAAGATTAGTTGGCCACAGCGTTAAACGACGCCATGTTGGGTGTAATTGAATTAGGTAGACAATACCAAACTGGAATAAGACCCAGGTCTTTTCGAAAATATAGATCGCGCACAAAGGTTGCTGTACAGAGCCTTGTCTAGAGTGGATAAGTGAAAAGTTATGTAGATATTAGGAGGTAGCAATGAGGTACTAAATTCGACGTTGTTCAGAGTACCAATGAGGTAGTTTCAAATATGGTAGTTACAGTTCTTGATTAGAATAATCAATAAAAGTCTTAACCATCTACCGCATTGCCCATATTAGAGGCGTACTACTCAAAACCATCTACCCAAAACAATTATAACGATTCCTCGAACTGAAAAATAAAATGACTCTCCATACAACACATCCCCAGTAAACCACGAACTCAAAATGAAAACAAAGTCCATTCCCATATTGACGCCTACAGCTGATGCCAGCATATTCATACGTTTCATCAACAACGTCGTTGTTAAAATTCAGCAATCCGTGACTAGCCAAAGACGATAAAGAAATGAACGATAGACGGACCTCGTTTTATGTTTGCCCATGCTTGAAACGGGCATATTCTTCCAAAATAAATACTGAATTAACCCCGCTATTAATTGAACAACTAACTACAATATCAAAAACTGAGCATCGGTGCTTTTGTCATTTTATTACAATGATTAGAATCGAAATCAAGCTTAGCTGATACAATCTTATTTACATGAAATATATACAAAGTTGTCAAAAAACAGTTTAATGTTATGTAGATCATAATTTTGACATTCATGATTAGAAAGAATGTCTACAGGCATTTTCATGAATTATTTGAGAATATCCACGGAAAATTGGGCTTGCTTTTCAAAATGATGTAATTTGCCATTACTTAAATTTGAAGACAGATTAATAAATTTATAACAGAAATCTTTTAACAGTCGAAATATATTCATCGCCTATTCCAAGAATTTATTTACACTTTTAAACATAAAATTAAACTAACAATAAAATTTAAAATAAAGAAATTAGGGTAAAGAAAGCGTAAATAAAATTAGAGCAAATACAAATTCTTATATTGAAATAAAAAGTTATACATTATGTAATATATACTGCATTTGTACTGCAAGCCCCAACAAATTATGGACAAGGTTTTGAAAAACAATCATCAGAAGTTACATTACAGGAATTAATTAATTGAGAGTTTTTATAATGCATGTTACATGAATATTTTGTTTTGTTTGAAATGTTTATTCTCGACATAGTAGAGTCGACATCGAAGTTGACATACCAGAGTTCAGTTTTATTTTAATCAAGTTCTTCTGTCGGTGATGACGGACGTTCTTCAGTAATTTTGTATTCCTCAATGTTTGACCCAAGTGTCTTGCTTCCTTGTCCTGATGTTTTAAATTTGATAAAAGTCTCATGAAAGAATGATATTAGTAAAAGAAAACATTGAGAAGTATATGTATATTCATCGACAAAGATCGTTGTCGTGGGTACAATATGCTCAGTCTGAATCAGAAATTTGTCAGTAGAGTTGTTTGCAGGATTGTCCATGGGAATCCGAATCAGCACACTTTTTTATTTCCCATGGGAAACGTGGGACACAAAAACCGTATGATATTCGGGGAAATGATGGTAAAACATTTCTTCATGGATTTCGTGTCCATATATTTGGGCATAGCTCTCTTGTTAGTTACAAACAGCAAACTATATTCAGCACTAACAATATAAGTCGTGAAGGGGCTGATAAACACATGTATAATAGTTATGAATATAAAGTTAACAAAGTCCGTAAGTTTTGTAGTTTAGCATATCTCTTCGTACATGTAGTCCTATTTATTAGACGGTAAACCTAAATTTAACAATTTTTATTGAATTTTATTCCAATGGGAATCCCATGGGATGGGATGAGACAGGCATAATTGCTATGGGATGGGATGGGAATGGGACAGAAAAATATGTCCCATGGACAAGCCTGGTTGCTTGATACCTACACATTTTTTGTTCGAATTAAAATAAATTTAACGCTTGAGAGCATAGCATGTATCATCCAAAGTTCGTATATTTTACAACCAATTTTGAGTTGAGAATTTTTTTCTATTATCTTATTAATTTTAATAACTACAAATTTCAATAAATTTTTCATTGTATTAAATTAATAGTCATCAGGTTCTGGACATTTTAGTAGGTATCGAAAATATAGTAAGAATAAATATTACAATAAAAATTAATACTTCTCATGTAACATACTGTATATAGTAATATTTTCATTGGCGCCAAGGTTCACAATTTAAATTTTCCATATTTTTTCTACTTTTCCTACAAATATAAAAGAACACCTTTGAACGTGCAACTTTGAAATAACTGGCATCTTTGAATAGTGGCATTTTCACAACTTGAGCTTTCAGCGATGCTAAGAAAAGCGTTTTGAGACTGTTTTGCGTTGTTGTTATTATTTTTCTGTAGTTTCCGTACATCTAAATGAACAAATTAGAATCTGTTGCAAATAGTAAAAATATATTCTAGTTCCATTTCATATTGCTATCGAGATTTTCAGTCTCACTGTAATTAAATATAAGAATTTTTTTAAATTTTAAATCATATTTATTTACTTCTTTAAGTTTGCTTCATACAACCAGTTAAACCAGCGTGTTCTAATGAAGGATTTTTGTTTGAGGTGACGTTAATATTGCTCTGTATTTCGTGTAGTTCCACTAATATTACTAGATTATTTAGGGTTCTTTTATACATATGCTTGCTCATTCTATTATCTGTTGATATTTACCTTTTACATTGATGTTTTCTGAAGGAGCAAAACTACTTCCACCTTCTGGAAATGGCCGCTTGTCTGTTGATCCCGAAGCTGTAAATAAGAATGACAGCTCTGAGATTAAGGTAAGAAATTTTTATCTACATTTTCATCATGGGACTAAGTTCTCAACCAATCATGTCAGAAAATTTAACTGATTTAGCCACTTTTAAAACATCAAATTAAGTTTCATCTTTTCCTGGATTAAATTTGATACCAACTATTGTAACTAGCGCTTCACTGGGAAAATAATTCATTAAGTATCAATTTGAAAATTCTCGAAGGAAGCATCAGCTTGCTGCATTATATTTATAACCACAGATTTCTGAGCAATTATGTACGTTCGATTATGATCATTTGTTGATATTTTGCGACTCTTACGTTGCGAATGAGCCGGTTCCCAAATCCAGGGATAGTTGAAAGATTGGTTCCCATCTAGAAGAGTGCCGTTCTTGTGAAGATTGCACTTTATCTGAATTGCATGAAAATTGTGATTTCCATATTCAAGGGGGAAGAAAAATCTTTTCCAATTCTTGAATTCGAGAAAATCATCGTCGATTTCAAAAGTACAAGTTCCATTGCCGCTGAACTTAAACTCTTGATTTTCACATGCTATCTCTGCCTTGATTTTGTCATCTGGTTTTATAGATTGAGTGTTGAAGCTGATTTCTTCTGTAAATCCTCGTCTATTGAAATATTCAACGACCTTTTGTTGCATAATTTCATCATCGAAAAAGAAAGCTAAAGCAAAGGAGTTTCTTGCAGGATTGGAGAAGACGAATCCCTCTAGCCTATAGATTTCTTTACCATGACTCTCATACGGTAGGCCTGCGATGACTGGGCCGTTGCAATTGTACTCAAATTGTGTTTCCCCTGTAAAGATAAGAATGTTTTTGCCGATTTTAATTAATTTTCTTTCGTTTTCTACTTGATATCTGACTGATTTAGAAATCACAGTCGAATCGTCATTATCTGTAGTTACTAACATATGGTAATACTTTAATTTGAAAGTAAAGTAGGAAATTCGAAGTTGATAGACATCAGAAGATGCAAAAATTAAATATTATATACACATTCACTTTAGTAATTTTTATTAACATACACCAATACCCTAATTATAAATCCTTCCATTTACGCACGAAACAAATTCGATTTAAATTCATTTTTGCTTTTGAATTTTCCACAGCATTTTTATTCATCGTCTGAAAATTATTTGGTAATCGAATCACTAAATGATATAATAATCTTCATTTACAATATTGAACATTTTTTGAGATCAATAATTTTGAATGAATGTATTGAATACGCACCTTGATGGTTTTCAGAGTTTTTATAAGATCTTATTCTTTGATATATTTTATCTTTGCATTCAGTTTTCAAATACTGAAAAAAAATCCGTTTTGTAATTATTAATATTAATTACAATTATCTAAACCTATCAAAACTAAATTGAAGCAGATATATTTGTTTCGGATGTCGGCAACTTTCGATGTCCCTCTGTTTTTTTATTACTCCTTGTTATGATATAAAAACTAATATTGTTTAAATAAAAAGGTTAGTGCAATACAAGTTGATTACGTGACAGGAAGTATGATTGGTGGTTTTTGAATCGATAAAGTTGGTTGATTCATATAATTAGAGTTTTTAGACGACGTATGTATAATACCTTTATAAATAAAAGAGATGGAAGAAAAGGCCTGTGAACATACATCGTAATTAATGTCTAACAGTTCGTCCTTACAATATTACAATATCTTTTAAGTAATAAAAATAAGATGTAATTACATCAAGGATAGGAATTGATGGTTCAGTCAGAGGCGAATCAAGTCAAATACTATTTTATTATAGCAAGGTATAGGGCAATTCTTACCGCAAATTTTTTTTAATGTTCATGAAATCGGTATCGTCAAGTTATTTTTTTAAATACCTTCAGTTTCATCTCAATCTGGCTTTGAAACTTTTCTCGAATGGAACATTTAACCTCTTTTGTCCCATCCTGAATTGGTATAAAAATCAGTCGGAAGTTTTCCATCTGAATATTTTATATAATAAATTAATAAAATTGCTTAAATTACTATCTCAGTGAATCGTAAGTTTTTTGTAAATTATATGTCGCATTTTAGATACAATTCAATAAACTTATATAATGGTATTTTTTTATCAATCAATTTTGTACAAGTTTGGTGAGTAGGTCAGGTTTACAAAGTGAATTCAACGTATAAAAATTAATAATTGTATGTACGTATTCACAGTCATTGTAATATATATATACATATGCTCTAGACTTGAATCAGTAGTATTTTCAGGATTTATGTCTGACAGCTAATGTACCTTCATTAAATAACAAAAAAAATCCTAATATTCGTGTAACCCAATAGGTATTTATTTGAAACTTTTATTTAATAAGAAAATTCCTTAATAAAAAGATAACGATGTCCTAATTTCTTTACTTTATGTGATGGATATTTCTTTATCCCTATATACGTTTAAGTGGGTTTAGTACAAAGGTTTACACAAAGCCATTATATACGTTGCTATTTTGTCAAAAATAGAAAAAAATATATTAGAGTTAAATTATATAGTATATTGGTATAATAATTTTCTATTCCTAAATAACGATACTTTTCTATAAAATGAGTTTCACGCCTATTCGATTCATCTGTAAATAGCAATTCTTTCCTGTAAAATTTGTTTTTTGTAAGGTTTATAAAATTGATATTTCCAAATATATTTTTCCTACCTTTACTGCTTGTTCCATTCTCTCGAACACTTGTTTAATCCAATTTCGAAACTTCTCAAGGTTGATATAAATAACTTCTTTTGTAGCATTCTGAAAGAATACCTAAATTAGTAAAGGTACTTTATCTAATTCTCAGAATTTATAATTTCAATACATCCGTGGTGCCTAAGTAATGCAAAATGCGATTTGGTAGTTTGTTTTAAAAAGTTTATGTTCAACCAAAACAATGAATCGACTGCTGGTCTTTATGTATACATTGTTTAATCCTTTCAAAAAGGTATATTTTTTATGCAATTGTTTCAACCTGATTGTCTTCCATCCATTTCCTAATATTATGACAATGTTGAACAATAGCTGACTTTTCATTGATTAAGTTCTCAAAATGCTTAAGTTTGGTTTTTCTTTCAGCATTATCAATAAGACTTTTCAAATCATCCTTTGCTCTCCCGCTTAGATTACGTTTCCCGTCTTTAATTTGTTGCTGTTCCAAATTCATAGTCTATAATGATAACACCATTTCCATATTAAATCACTGGTTTAGAATTCAATAAATTAAGATATAGCAAGTTGTATTTAAAACCATATATGTTTTTCTTCACTTTTTCAACCAAATTTTTGTCTAATTTACATAATCAGAATCATTTACAATTTTTAAATTTTTAAATTATATTAAATATGGTTTCGAACAATTAATAATTACAAGTATTTACTAGTTTTTTAGTTTCTTAATTACTATTAAATTGTCCTATTATATTTTAAATGCCCCACTTTAACTGAGATGAGCGAAAAAGCTGTTATAAAAGTCCTCATATCATTAAACAATTCTAAAATAACTATTTTTTTGTATTAAAGAGAAAAAAATTAGATGATAGTCAGATTATTTAGTATATTACTATAATGATTTCCATCTATAAATATCAATTTTTTTCTCAGAGACATTTTTTCTTATGTTTATGAAATTTTAATTGTCAATTATTTTATCCATACCGTTACTGCTTGTTCCATTATATCGAAAAGTTGCTTATTCCATTTTTGAAAATCCCCCAAATTGTCATATATAACTTCTTCTGTAGCATCCTGACAAAATATTTGAAGCAGTCAGGGTGTTTCATCTCTATTTCCTATTATATACTCGTTGAAATTGATTTCAATTATTGTTCTTGGTTTCCACGCATATTACATATGACAGAACAGATGATAAGGCATTAGACATGAGTAAACAAAAATCATTATAACCTGGTTTTCTTCCATCCAGTTCCTCTGTTTTTGACAATACTGAAGAATAGCTGATTTTTCATCGGTAACTCTCTCATAACACTGAAGCTTTGCTGTATTCTCAGCATTATCGATATTGCGTTTCAAATAATTCTGGGCTCTCTGGCGTAGTTTGCATTTTTCTTCATTATGTTCGTGCTGATCCAGGTTCATAGTCTAAAAAAACGACCAAAAATTTCTTAAATTTGAATCTTCAGTTTATAATACAATTAGTAATTCAAGAAGAATTATTTTCAAAGTCTAATTGGCTTTGTAATCTAACCTTGTATCTTGACTGAGCAAACAATTCCTAATTATTTCTAGAACTATATATGTGTTTAGTTTACTCTTATTAAATGAAAACAATCCTGACGATATTAACTTGCTTGCTAAACTATATCCAGCAAAAGTTTAGTTGGCTTTTTCATGAATCAAAGTCTCACAATGCCCCAGTTCATTTGTTCAAATTGTGTATGCTTTAAGATTATAAAATAAATTTTAACCCTATTTCATATCAATTTAACACACAATTTATAACTAACAAATTCTTTTGAGAATATTCGAAAAAATAATCACACGGAGTTATGTTATTTATTATTTTAGTATGTAACTTTTATCTTTAAATAGTATTTCTTTCCAACAAAATATTTTATATGTTTATGAAATTGATATTTCCAATTTTTTTTTCATACTTTTATTGCTTGTTTTATTCTCTCGGATGGAGCATCCATAAAAATATGTGAATCAGTCAAGGTATTTTTCTAAGAATTTCCTATTATTTGATATTTTTTATTAAATACTTGAGTAGGAAAGGCTACAATGTGATTTTGTAGTTTGTTTCAATTGAAGTTTATGTTGTCAAAATTGATTGGTAACCATGGAAATAAGTCAAGTGTTGATCTTTAGGTATTGTTATAATTTTACATTGTTTATTCCTTTAATAAAAGTTATATTATTTATACAATTGTTTCAACCTGATTGTCTCCCGATCACTTTCTTATACTATGACAATTTCGAAGAATACCTAACTTTTCATTGGTTAACTTTTCAAAACGCTTAACGCCAGATGCCCCGTTGAGCAATTGGGCAAAAGTCTCAATTTCACCAATTTTGACCCAGTCCTATTATCCTTAGATAAGCAAAAAATAAAGAATGTAATACAATTTTTTTTTGTCATTTTAAGCAGCTTAAGTAAAACTATCATTATCTATTCATATCTATAATGAAAATTGTTATAATAATGTTTATCTCAAACAACTCAACTATAAGATTTATCACAAAATAATAAATAATTAAAAAATATATGTTTAAATTAAAACTATTCCCCTGAAATTATAAGGTGGGAATATATTTTATTTTTTAATGTATCGGATTTTTATTTTATTTGTCACTTTGATTTACAATATATATATATTAGTCAACAGTAAGACCAATTTGATGAACTATATGCTTAAAAACATTTGATATTTAATTTTTGGAATAAAAATAACTCGACGAAAATGTTCTTGAACTTAATAACCAACCGTTGAAAAGTATAAACATATTTGGTGATATACTCGTTCTAATCTGTAACTAAAATTCCCTGACGCTGAAAAAATTAGCAAAAAAAGGTGGAAATTATTCAAGTATCCGATTTACATAGTACATCCGGTTCCATTACATTTGAACCCACGTACATTTGAACCCATGACAATTGCACCTGTATGCTATTGCACCTATGGTATTTTTTTTGTTTCACGGATAGTTAAACCCATACTAACCCTAACCCATGGGTTTTAGCACCCGCATATAGATTGAACCCGTGGATATACGCATGGGTTCAAATGTACATGGGTTCAAATGTACGGTCACCAGTACATCCCTAGTAAATAAAACTATAGGAAAGCTTTTCAATTTTATTAAATTGATTAAAATTTAATTATTTGTGAATTTATTCAATTCATTTTTTGTTTATTCAGCGACTTTCCGAGGCCGACCATTTGATATAATATATTAGTTTGTACAATTCCACTTCTTAGGTTAAATGAAATTACTTATATATAGAGAGAGAGAGATTTGAATTGCCAATATTTGTTGACAGTATAAAATATGGCAGACAGTAAATTTGGCAGTTAACAATAATTTATATTTACAAACATCTTTTACGAGTTAACATAACTAAAACATTCAAAATTAGAAAAAATATATAAAATCAATCGCATAAATCCGATAGTATAGGTCCACTATGGAACTATTGGCCATAAATACCCCATATTCAGAAATATTCTCTTGTTTAACTTTCACTGTATTGTTCTCTGGTGTAAATTGTACTGTAGTTTGTTGCTCGTTAATTATTTCGCTATCTCGCTCAATTGGATGACTTTTGATAGTTATGTATTGTCATTAAAAGTTTAAACAAGTCTTACTATAAATCTAGAAATATTTCATTTTGTTCTATAGAACTTAATTTTTTTATACATTAGAAGTAATTATTATTTTTAACATTTTTCATTATGCTGTGCACTCTCAAGTGCCACTCGCTATTTTATTTCAATAAATTTTCATTAATATTGAGCTCTAACATTACAAGTTTTTATGAATTTACAGCGACAAAATTATTAGTTTGATTTGACGCAAACGTGGAATACCTAATTTGCAAAATTCAAAAATTGAACTCAATACATAAACTTCAATATTTTGTCGCCAATTTTCTCATATTTTTTTATCGAAAAATAACTTATCAATCGTTATTGCTGTCCTGGTGACTTACATATGCTGACAAAGACTAATACTGTAAATTGTCCAACCGAACAAACCTAGTAAACACGTCGCGCTAAAAAATAAAGTTTTGCGAAAACACTTCGCGACTTTCACCAATTATATACTTTTAATGATTTCGAAAACTAAATTTTATATATTTATTACAAGTTTTTTAAATGATAATTTATCAACTATTTATTTTTATTATATATGCTTACTTTGTTTTATTCTAATATGTAATAACTAATATTTTCTAACGTTAAAGAAAATAATTTAAAAAAAATATATAAACATATAATATATTAGTTTGGGAAACTTATAAAAGAACAATAAAATAAAGTAAATAAATTGCATGAGGTCGTAGGTGGAACTAAAACAAAATACCTTTTCTCTTGAAATATTTCCTCGTTTATATTTCACTGTGTTGGTCTCAGAAGGTGATATATTATCACTGATAATTAGTATTTCTTCCATATTTTCTGACTGTCATATTCAGTATATTAATTATTGAACATTTTTGCTTTTTAGATATATGATACAATCACTATCAAAATGTCATTGATTAGATTTTAAATGCTTGGTAATGGGAACTGAGCGAAGTTTAACTTTTATATAAACTAAATATTTATTTTTTTACGAGATAATTATATACTTATGTTTTCGAAAAATTGAATTGATTTATCACAAATTTTATGATAATGATGAGTTTCAAAATGTGTATACTTTTAATATAAATGCTTAATTTCTTTGTTCTAATATGTAATAACTAAATATTTTTACCGCCGACGTGAATAATATAAATAAAATTAAAATTGTAATTGATTAAAAATTAAATAAAATATTGTTGATTTGTTTTTAAATGCTTGATATTGTTAACTACGAAAAAATTTCTCTCATGTAAACCGAATGGCTTTATTCTCGACAAGATAATTAAATACCTATATTGAATCCAAAAAAGATTAGTTTTATAAATTTTTTTACAAATTTTGTTGAAGTATAATTTTCGAAATATATGTATTTTATTATGTATGTTTAATTTATTATTTAAATGTAAAAATGATTCGGCAAACAGGCCCCTAAAGCGATATAATATTTAACATTTTTGGATTCAGTGAAAACTTTGACTTGGAATGTTTGTAGATTTGTCTGTATTTAGTTACTCCCAGGTTAAATAAAATAATAAATAATATAATATATATATATATAATTACTCAGTAACAGGTATGTTGTGACTTATTTATGCAAAGTTAACAATAATTTGTCTTTTACGAGATGACATAATTTACACATATGAAGAAAAAATAAATTAAATTAAATCAATTTCATAAAGCCAATGGTGTAAGCCAAAAAATACCTCTCCTTCTGAAAAATTCCTTTGTTCAACTTCCACAGTATGATTCTCAGGGTTGAATTGATATTCAACAGTTTGTAGCTTATTCATTATTTCGGTATTCTTATTTTCTGGTTCACTGACATACTAAAATAATGACATGAGGCATATTTAAACTTCACACACAATTCTTCAAAAACAATAATAATTATCGTTGAACTGGTGGCAAAAGACGTACATATATTGACGAATAGTAGTAAAATATTGTGAATTGGCCAAACGTACAAACTAAATAAACAAGTCATGCTGACAAACACAATAGGTGATTTAAATATAATTGCCCCCGAAACATTACGCGCTTTAGCGATTTTTCGGTTTTTCGAATCAATCCCTAGCTGCACCACTTATCAGGGTTGCAATTATACTCGTATTGTTTAGTGGCCCCTGCTTCAAATAAAATATAAAAAAAAATGGATTTTTGAATGACTACACAAAAATTAAATTATGAAAAAACCACTAATATTTGATCAACTACTCCATGATTCATATTATATTTATGAGTCATTTGTTTTAAGTTTGGCTTTTCTGTCAGCAATATCAAAAAAACTTTTTAAATCGTTGCTTTGCTTTCTCACTTAGCTTACGTTCCTTGTCATCAATTTGTTGCTTTTCCAAGTTTATATTCTATATTGATAACATAATTTTAATATTGAATCACTAGTTTAAAATTCAATAAATTAGCAAAGAGCAAGTTAGTCTCACACATTATTTACATAAGCATATATTCCTTATATTTATTCAATGAATTTTGGTCTAATTCACATAATCTCAATCAATGAAAAAATTTAAATTTCAAAACTATATGTAAATAAACAGGTAATAATTGAAAAAGTATGTGATAGGTTTTTAGGTCTGTTTGTAATTTAAATGTATTAATTAATTCTAGTATATGGTAAATGCTTTGCCATACATTCATTGGTAAGTTTCTTAATCATCCAGACGGTTGAAAATAAATATTTAAAACCATAAATATACATAGCCAAAGTATCTAATTTACAATTTCCTCCAAGCTCCAATTCTTTGGATAATTCTAAAAAATCGGGATATCTGATGCCATTGCTATCGTTGCAAATAACATTGAACACTACTCAACTAAACTACTCAATAGTTTTCGCAACTTTTTGGCTATGTTATTGAATTCACTATCATCAGATACCATCATCAACAACATCAAATTTTATACCCACCCCGTAAACGCGCCAGTGATTTCCGAATGTTACTTCCCCAAACTACATATCGGGTATTTTTGAGGTAGACCGACTTATCGGGGAACAATAAAAATCGTTTTGTGTGAAGAATATCCACCAAATTACATTATAACATTATGCAAGTTTTGATTAACAAAATAGAGATTTTCCAGTAGGTCACAGATAAAGTCTACTCAAAATATTTAAAAATTAGCATGCAATGTATTTAGCCTATTCTACTACATCACATATCTATTTCTCAGATTTATTCCAAAAAGCTGTAACTTACAATTCAGCGATTTCGTCACAACGATGTTTACTACATATCCTTTGCAAAATCTATTGAATGAATAGTATCCGTTCACTTGATAATGAAAGCTAAAGGCTGCGTCCACGAAGCTTGTAACTTGCTTCGTAATATTTTTTTTTTGCATCGTGTAAAAGCCTGCTATCGCATATTGTTTGCTTATGAATAAAAGCGGGAAGTTAAGTGAACACCATATGGTGATTCGGTGTATAATAAAATTATCCAAGTGCTATACTACAAAGCGTTACTGAATTTAAAATTCTATTTTTGCTGTCTTAATCCTGCTTTCAAACCAATTGTTACATTGTGCTGTCTTTAATATTAACCTTAGCCTAGCTGTTATGCTTATTTTTCCATCAACTTTCTTTGCGCAGCTGCCATAATTTTTCAGCCCCTGTAACGAAGTCACATTAATCCCTGTTTTTAGGGATTTAACAAATGATCGTTTTGAATCATATTGAGTTTTGATCCTCCGGTCCAGTAACCAAGTCTATTATCTGCATCCGACTCACTCAGAAAAGTAATTGCCTACCCCAGCTAGTAATTCAATCCTAATTCGAATCAAAAACACACAAGTGAAAACAGGAGAGAACGTGTTTACACAATAACACACAATTACTCTCTAACATTTTAAACTGATAAAAAATACTATTACTATAGCTTGAGGTCTATGACCATATGTCCCCTACGCAGGTGTGGTCTAAAGTTAAGATAGGTTCAGTTTACCTTTGAACTGAATTTAGAAATAATAGATGTTCATTTGGTATAAAAAATACAACTGTTGGCATGAGGTCGATTTCACAATACAGCGGGTTAGACCTCGATCTGTAGTACTGCCTGAAAAGGAAACGATTCGACTCTTATACATACTGATTTAAACAATGTTATCTTTAAAAGTTATCAATTATTTTTAACAATTATTTAACAAAAGTTAACAATTATTTTTTTGTGAATTGTAACCATTCACAACCAACCACAGACAGCACTGCCGAATTTTTGTAGCCACATTTCCTAACTAAACCAACAAAACTGGTATATCTTTGAAATCCTTAAACAGTGACTACGCATGATTATCAAAAATAACAATTAACAATTAATATCTCATTTAACTAACTTCATCGCAGCCACCTTTTTTTAATCAGCCAAATTTACACTGGCCATATCGAAAAAAATCTAATTGCTAACATATTTTTATATTATGGTGGTAAACGCACCGGTGATTTCCGAATGTTTCCCAAACTACAACTCGGGTCTTTTGGGGGTAGAACGATTTATCTGAGAAAAATAAAAATTATTTTGTTCGAGGAAAATTCACGAAATTAGTACTTTGTAGTTGTACTACGAAATTTGTACTTGTAAGGTTTGATTAACGAAATAGAGATTCGCCGAATAGGTCACCCATAAAGCCTGTTAAAAATATTTTAAAATTAGCTGCAAAGTATTAAACCCAATCTACACTTCATTACACATCTATTTCTCAGATTTATCATACATTGTTATAACTCACGCTACATCTGGATTCCTATATACTTTGTCAAAGAAATAGTATCCGCTCACTTGAACTGTAATACTTAAGGCCTTTTGTTTGAAAAAGAAGACAGACATGGCATTAGGTAAAAACTATCTCGCTTTTCGGTGGGGGATGAAATGTGTTATCCAAATATTATACAATAAATATGCTAAATATAAAATGAAAGAACGAAATATAAAAAAGGCGTTACTAAATTTAAAATTATTTTTATGTCCTAACCCTACTTTGATCGACCCAAGCTTTACCAACACCTAAAGATATTATACGGAAATTTTAAAAGGGTTGCCAGAAATCTTGTTACGCTGATATTTTACCTCTGCTAGCTTATTTGTCATTCTAGGGTAAGTACTCGTTTATCGAGCAAATTGGGAAAGTAGAGATTTCGTCAGAACTCGAACAGTGATAATTTTTTGGATGCGCCACATCAAATTACATTCAGCACAGGCCACTATCAATCATTTTTTTCAATTGTGAATTGTGACTAATCACAAATAGCATGGCCTAATTTTTGCTGCATGTTCACATGTTTTCTGTTGCCCGATCTCCTAATTGAACCTACAAAACTGACATCTATTTGAACATCTTGAAAATGTCAGTAAACTTAAATATCAAAAATCACACCGAACTAAGCAATCTAATCCAAATTTTATATTATCAGTATAACTAAACTTAATATAATTCTAGAGCCGTTACCATACTGTGCTCTTTATGAGCGATGCCAGCACCTGTAAATATACACCCGAATATTTAAAATGGTTGACTGATTGTATACAGCCCATTGCGATGATTTACCCTCGGCCATTCTCAGTCTCAGGTCAATTACTTGAATCGTTGGTTTGATTGACGAACCAAACTACTTGTTTATCGAAAAAAAATGGGGGAAATACAGCTCACGCAATAATCATATATCGTTGTTGGCTGTTTTAGAGATGTTCAACCGTAAAGTACTAAGCTCGGTAATGTACAAAAAGACTCAAAAATCATGAAGAATTATTGCTTTGTTTTATATGCACATCTACTTGGGTTGTTGTATCACTATCAATCTTCTCTAGAATTAATTTGAAATTGTATATCAACTAAACATATATATATATATATATAAATATATTCAAATTCCCAGAAGTATAAATTGTCTCTCGAACAATACAAATCCGTCAGATTTAAAACTCACCAGATATGACGCGTTGCAATTAGCCGTTTAATAGGAATTTCATATTTTGACTCGGTGCCCCGGATATTTACTAATTATGCCAGAAATAATTCCGCATGATTTATTAGTTCCCTTTTTGATTAAACTACAGTGCCGTACAAGGCAATTAGAATATTTATCAAATAATTTCAATGTTTATCTGGAACAAAAAACAGAGTTTCTCTAATATCATGGCTACTCATATCAGACAATATATTTATGTTTTGGTTCGGAACGCAACCGTGGTCACCAGACCGGGAAGTGTTTCACTTTTCATACATTGCAACAAACCCATAGTCTAAGACGGAACAAAAATTTTTGTTAGTAATGCAATCCTGATTCGAATCAAAAATACACTAGTGAAAACAAGTGAGAACGTGTTTATAAATAAGACGCAATTGCACTCTAGCTGAGTAAAAAGGGTATTACTATAACATGAGGTCCAACGCCATATGTCGCATACGCAGGTGCACTCTGAGGTTAAGATAGGTGCCGTTTATCTTTGAATGAAACGTACAAATAATAGATGTTCATTAGGGATAGAAAATACGACTGTAGGCCTGAGGTGGCTCTCTCAATACAGCGTGGTAGACCTCACGCTATAGTAAAACGATTCGACTCATATATATTGGTTTAATTAAACAATGTTATCTTGGAAAGTTATAATTTACTTTTTAACGCAAATTTAAGATCTAAAATAATTGCCAGACAACACATTGCGCTGTTTTTACCTCTGTTGGCTAATTTGCCGTTCCAAAGTACACGATTATCGAGAAAATTGGGGAAGTAGATTTTCGTCATAACTTGAACAGTGATGGTTTTTCGAATGCACCACAT